GTGTGTCCTCGAGGTGTTGGTGGGTAGGGATGTGGGGTGGGGGGGATTGGTTTACGAGATAGGAATGAACCTGAAGACTTGTTTTGGCCAGGGAGTTACTAGGGGGAGGGGCTTCATTTCCTGGAAGGTGGGGAGGAGTGAGATTTGGTAAGGGATGGGGATGACCTTGGGGGAAGCTGGGGAAGGATAGAAATTGGTGCTAGGTTTGGATGGTGAGTCGGGGAGGGAGATATGTAGATGTCCTTAGTGATTAATAGGAAAAATAACTCCTACAAAACGTTTGGGGAAGTTTCAAGTGTATAATACAAAACAAGGATAATTTACTTAAGTTACAGAATGTGGTGGGGACTCCAATGACGCCGCTGCCAGTATGTTGCAATAAGGCATTTATATGGTTATACAGTATATATATATTTTGCTGGGTCATTATTTCTCCTTCCAGACACAAAAGCCAATCAGGAATAGCTGAGTCAACAACTACTCTTGCTACTAACACACTCAACAGACACCAACAAGAACCTTCTGGCTACCAACACACTCAACAGACACCAACAAGAACCTTCTGGCTACCAACACACTCAACAGACACCAACAAGAACCTTCTGGCTACCAACACACTCAACAGACACCAACAAAAACCTTCTGGCTACCAACACACTCAACAGACACCAACAAGAACATTTATCACAGCAAAACTTAAATCAATCCATCGAATTTCTTAAATTGGTACAAGTCAGAGGGCTTCAACAGACACCAACAAGAACCTTCTGGCTACCAACACACTCAACAGACACCAACAAGAACCTTCGGACTACCAACACACTCAACAGAACCACCAATTTTATCACAGCAAAACTTAAATCAATCCATCGAATTTCTTAAATTGGTACAAGTCGGAGGTTGTTACCTTAAATCTCCATAGATATCATCATTTCCTCTTACCTGTGAAGTTTAGGTAAGACATATTAACAGAGAGTTTTATTTATTTCAGGTATATTATTATGTGGATTGACACCTGTTTGTGAGGGAATCAGATTGTTTCTCTACTAATACTACTACCACTATTATTATTTTTTTTAATAAAATGGCCTCCAGTCTCCCCCAATAGCCACACCTTTCCCTACTACTACTACAACTAAAGAACCTGCTGTAAAAACTCACATAATGTTCTACCGTAAAAATAGCAGTAAAAGACTAACATTAATCCTACCATAAAACCCAATGAGAACTACCATAAACCTACTGCGGGAGCCACCATTAAGGAGAGAGAGAGAGAGAGAGAGAGAGAGAGCCGGGCAATATGGCGGTGTTGTGAAGTTGAGACTCTACCTCATAACAAAACCCAATGAGAGAACTAATGTGGTTGACAAGAGATGTTTTGAGACAGAGACGTTATATGTTAGTTGATTTGTTTTTGAGAGAGAGAGAGAGAGAGAGAGAGAGATTTTTCTGTTTTGTGAGATATTTTGAGTATTGTGGTCCTTTTGTGAGACATGGAGAGACAGATGTGTCGTTGAATCTGTTACGAGACGGGTGAGAGACGTGAGACAGGACAGAATTGAGGAGCTGAGGGAGAGAGAGACAGTAGGTGGTATTGACAGGTGTTGTGTGAATGTGAGATACCAGCCTCTGACAGCCATCATCACCCCCAGGACACACACACACACACACACACACACACACACACACACACCTCGCCTCCGCCACGTTCGTCTTATCAACACAAAACCTTGCCGCTGATAACAGGCTCGTGTGTTTTCCTCCGATAATGAGATGCGTTTGGTGGTCCCGGCGATGATAGTGTGTGTTGGTGGGCGTAAGAGTAGGTGGTAGCAGGTCCCGTTACTAATGGGCCCAACCTAACCTAACCAAACCTAACCTAACCTTACCATACCTTACCTAACGTTTAATAATAAGGATTTTGACCCTTTAGGTTTAGGGCTAATAGGAACGGGTCTACAAAAAGTGGTTCCCGCTCTTAATGGTCATTCCAAATTAGGTCGGGGCCTGTTAGGACAACCAGTAGAAATATTGAAAAACGCCCTTGCTAAGTCTCCCGTGTTCCTCTGTTATTACGTCTCACTGCACCCATGGCGGCCCGTTCTTGCCTTGGGCTCCCCGTTGCACCCCCAGCCACGCCCACGCCCAGGTCACGCTACTCTCCAGCCTCATTAAACACTGTACCCTTGTTGACTGTATTACGAACACCTGAAATACTTTTTTTTTTATTAAAAGAAAAACTACAATCCCATTTTTTTGTATGTTCAAAGAAATTATTCAGAATTTCAACTCAACAAAAAAAAATCTTGATATTTTTTGTGATGTAAATAGAAGAAAAAAAATTGTTGGACGGAATATGTAAAGTACACATTAGTTCAAAGTTCAACACATTATAAGTCATGATAAAAAATATAATACAGTTTTAGCACAGAAGCGGAGGTGAGAGTTACTGTAGTATGCAGTGTTCAAAGCAAAAGTCAGGGGGCGCTGTGTACATCACGTTGTACACTCGAAATATGCAGGAGAAACACACACACACACACACACACACACACACACACACACACACAGGTGAGCGCCGTACACGAGGGACTATATAACACGGTAGAACGAGTTTATAAAGAAGTTACTAACATAGGGAACAGTGTGCAGGGATACCAGCTAGAGAGACTTGAAGCATCATAATCCAGAGTACGAGTTCTCAATTGTCTGTTTTTGTTGATAGTAATTGAGCTTTGATGAGCACAAAATTGACTGCCTTTTGATCCGCCCCAACGATGATGGGTAAATAATGGTGGAATTACAGTGTGAATTTACCGTGTCACGTGTGTGTGTGTGTGTGTGTGTGTGTGTGTGTGTGTGTGTGTGTGTGTGTGTGTGTGTGTGTGTGTGTGTGTGTGTGTGTCCTTATCCTCAGTAGACATCATCATCATCATCACTACTTTAGGAGAACATCAACATCTGACTCCGGTCACCGCCTCACCACCGACCAAAACAAAGCCGTCACACACACACACACACACACACACACACACACACACTAGTCCAGCTGTTTGCACATACCTTTCTCTCTTTCATATATCCTTTCCCTACTTTTTTTTACATATATTTTTTCTACTTTCTTTTATATATTGTTTCTCTACCTTTCTCCTATATTATTTCTCCACTCTAATTTCCTTTTCTTATATATACTTTCTCACCTTTTTCATATATTGTATACTTTCTTCTATATCCCTTTTCTACTTTCTCTTCCTCATATACCCTTTCTCTACTTTCTTTCATATATATATACTGTCCTTACTCTCTCTAAACAAAATTTCCAAATGTTCTAAATGATGTGCTTCAAATTCAAATAGGCCTTCGTGTAGGCCTGTGTATACACCAACAAGTATCGAAAACGTATCAAATAAAACTCTTAATATCTTTAATTCGGTATAACGAGGAAACTTTAATATCGAGAGGGAAATATTTCAGGAAGTGCAACCAAAAAATAACAGTTTTTTTCTTAACGTGATTCACACAACACAAGTTAACATTTAATCGTTGTAAAGTTAAAAAAATAAACCAAGAATGTTTTATAGAATATGTGTTTTATCCTCAGGTTCTTGAAGGTCAAAGTTGTATTTACCTTCGCGGGAAAATATGGCTTTATACAATAACCTCTGACGTCACGGCGGTGTTGCATGTTTACATTTGGTTGTTCAGTGTTGCCAGTTTTGGTTTTTTATAGACCCACACTTCTGTACGCTTTGGATTTTTTTTTCTTGAATAATGCCAATATTTTTTAAAGTACTTTTTCTTGACATGTATTTGAAATAGTGTTACAGACTATTATATATGGTTAGGTTAGGTTAGGTCAGGTCATATTCTCACCTTCCTCAGGTAACTCTCCTCCTCACTATTGACACCTTCACTACACTAAACCATCCATTAACAAGATAACTAAGTTTTTGTGTTTATCGCTGTCACCCTTCAGTACACTTAATGTTTCCATATATTTATTAAAGATACACATAACATACACATAATACACATAACATACACATAATACACATAACATACACATAATACACATAACATACCGGTACACATAATACACATAACACACATGATTTGTATATAATTTATATTTTTACCATCACCTACCAATAACCTTCATTCTCCCAGGTGTTCAAACTTTCGTCTTTTTTACATACATACATTAAGGTGAATTTCACTTAATTTTATGATCTAAGCCAAATGTCATCATGATTTTAAAGAAGATAAAGAAATCTGTGTATTTTTGGGTGGTATATAAAGTGTTTATCGCCACTTGGTTGACGTCACATAACCAGGAGGATGTCAGAGCCCGGATGACGTCACATAACAAGGGTGATGTCTCAAACCCAGGATGACGTCACAGAGAGACGGCCTGGATTATCGTAAAACGAGTTGGGAAGGAAAACAAATACGAATAAACCAAAAACCAGAAGAGAAAAAGAAGAACATAAAAGTCAGGGAGGAGAGTAAATAAAAATAAATGTTAGACTAGGAGACAACGAAGATAAAGGGGGAGAGCAGAGACAGAGGCGTGAACCAGAGTGAACATTATGAGGCGACGGGGATAAACTACATGTTGTGTACACTGCTGCTGCTGAGGTCTCCTAGTGGTGGTCTCCTAGAGGTGGTCTCCTGGCGGTGGTCTCCTGGCGGTGGTCTCCTAGAGGTGGTCTCCTGGCGGTGGTCTCCTAGTGGTGGTCTGGACACTCAGCATGTCTCTCTGATGTAGGCATGGGCATGTTAGGCGTGGCGTGGGCTTGATCGCGTGGTCGTGGCTTTTCTCAGCTTAACCACGAGTCTCATGACTGCTGTGGGCATGGCCAAGGGCGTGGTTATGAAGGGATGAACTGTGACTTAAAAACCTTTGACATCATCATTCCTCACCACTGACATCACCCTTCCTTCACCACTAACATCACTTTTTCCACCACTGACTTCATTTTTTTTTTGTACCTTTTCAGGACGTCCCCAGGTGATCCCAAATCCCAACGGGTGTTACTACCGACGGGATCCTTGTTCTTCCTGCGGGTGGTACACGGCAAGAAGGAGGATGACGCGGGGGTGTACTGGTGCCAGGCGAGCAACGAAGTGGGCACCGTCACCTCCAACAACGCCACCCTCGAAATAGCAGGTAAGACAGGTGTTGAAGAGGTCAGGTAAGGGAGAGGTAAAGAGACGGTTTATGACAGAGAAAGAGAGACACACACAGTAAAAAAGACAGAAAGACAGACAGGCAGAGACGGACAAACACACACTCTAAGAAGAAAGACACACACACACACACACACACACACACACACACACACACACACACACACACACACACACACACACACACACACACACACAATGTAAGACGAGAGAGAGAGAGAGAGAGAGAGAGAGAGAGAGAGAGAGAGCAGGGTTAGTGGGGTTGTGGAGGTTGGTGGGCCGCGTGGAGGTTGGTGGGGTGGAGGTTGGTGGGGGTCATGAGGTTGGTGGGGTTATGTGGAGGTTGGTGGAGTCATGTAGGTTGGTGGGCCATGTGGAGGTGGTGGGGGCAGAGGATGGGGGGTCATGTGAAGGGCACTGGGGTCATGTGAAGGGTACTGGGGTCATGGCATGTGAAGGGTACTGGGGTCATGTGGATACTGGGGTCATGGGGGTAATGGACTGGGGGTCATGTGGGGTACTGGGGTATGAAGGGTAAAATTGGGGTCATGGGTACTGGGGTCATGTGAAGTACTTCATAATAAGGGTACTGGTAAAGGGAACAGGTAGTAGTCGAGTACACCTTTACCTCACCCGACACGGCAGGTAGGCAATTCCTGTGAGGTCATGTAGGGAGAGAGGGAGGAAAGGCCAGGGGTCATGTAGGAAAGGAGGGAAGGCTAGGTATCATGGAGGGAGAGAGAGAGAGGGAGGGACAGGGGTCATGGAGGGAGGGAGAGCCAGGTATCACGGATGGGGAGAGGGAGGGAGGGACAGGGGTCATGGAGGGAGTGAGGGCCAGTTATCATGGAGGGAAAGAGGGAGGGAAGGTCAGGGGTCATGGAAGGAGGGAGGGCTAGGTATCATGGAGGGAGAGAGGGAAGGAGAGGAGTGTAAAAGAGAAGGAGGGAAGGAGAGACGGAATATATCCCAAGAGAGTAAGGTAGAGTTTCTCTTGGAGGGAAGGAGAGAATGAGGGAGAGGAGAGGGAGAGTACGATAAGTGGACGAGAGGAAAAAGAGTAAAGTGAAGGAGTAACACAATAACAATAACAGATAACAAAGCATTAAGGAGAATGAGTCACAGTGTTATATTTTCCTCAGATAAAGGATAATATTGTTACATTAATTAAGAAAACCCTTAAAGGAAAAAATCTTATACAATATACTACACAATTATATTAAATGGAACATCGTCATTAAGCAGACATATACGAATATTCCCGAGTTAATTATCTTTAGGTATGAACGTGTCTCTCTGTAAAGCATAATGAGTGTTATACATAATATTAAACTTTGAAATGATCGACATGTTAAGGTTTATGTTATACTGAAATAGTTTTAAGTGGATTGTAGTTGGTAAAGAGAGAGGCTGTGTATGTTATCAGTGCCGTGTGTGTGTGTGTGTGTGTGTGTGTGTGTGTGTGTGTGTGTGTGTCAGCTAAGGACAGTAAAAAACATTACTACTCTTATATGTAAAGAAATAAGGCTTAGTTCAACACTTTAAAGAGCTTTATATTATAAGTCATGAGTGAAGCAGCAGTAGATCGTCCCTTACGTCACTCTCTTGTGTTGGCAACAGACCAACCCATTGTGTCTGGTCCTGAGGAGAATAATAATTTAAAGGAAAACATTACAATTTTGGCCTCCAGTTGTGGTCGTGGTATGGCTGTTGTTGTTGATGGGGTTGTTGTTATTGTTGTAGATATTGTTTTGTTGTTATTATATTAGTAATTGTTCTTATGGTCGTTGTTATTGTCATTATTTGTTGTTGCTTTTGTAGGTGTTATTTTTTTTTAGTCGTCTTTTCTCGTTGATGTTATTAATGCGGTCGTTGTCGTGTCGTCGTTGTAGTTGTGGCTGTTGTTGTTGTAACTGTTGTCAATTTTGTCATTGTCGTTGTTTTATGTGATTGTTATTGTGGTTATCGTGGTTATTTTTGTTATTGCAATTGTTAGTGTTGTTGTTAACGGAAGACTGAAGGTGTCAGGTGTTATTTTCTCTCTCTCTCTCGACTGGTGTTGTCAGGTTCATTGTCATCGTGGTAGCTGCTGTTGTCATTCCCCACACCACTGTTATTGTCGTGTCTGGTGACGACTGTAGAGAGAACAGGTGTTGATTGCCGTCATCGCTGTTATCGTTTACGTGTAGAAACTTAGGTAGTGTAGTGTAGTGTGTGTGTGTGTAGTGCAGTGTAGTGTAGTGTAGTGTGTGTGTGTGTAGTGTAGTGTAGTGTAGTGTAGTGTGTGTGTGTGTGTGTGTGTGTGTGTCGGCTGGTGGAGGTGAGGACGGCCACAAGTCAGACGAAATTAGTGAAGGTCTGGGGGGTTGGGAGGCGTAATTAAAGCCTGGGAATTGTTTAATGACTTTGGCTTATTACTGTGAAGGTCCAAGGGAGACTCACACCTCCCTCCCTCCCTCACCCAACCCTCGAGTGTTAGCTTGAGTGTTGCCTCATGTGTCGAGTTTTAAGTAAATTACTCCCTCATGTGTTAGGCAAAATGCTCCTTCAAGTGTTAGATGACGTGGTCCTTTAAATATCAAGTGTTAGGTAGAGTGCTGCTTCAAGTGTTAGGTGTATTGTATCTTCAAGTGTTAAAGTGTTCTCTGAAGTGTCGAGTGTTAAGAGTCTTGCTTGAAATGTCAGATAAAGCGCTCAAGAGATAGATAAAGTGCTCCTTCAAGTGTGAGGTAAAGGGATGAGCTTTTGTTCGTGTTGTTGTGGTTGTAATTGAGTTGTAGTTATTGTTGTGGTTATAGCTCTTGTTGTGGTTGTTCATGTGGTTTTTAACTGTGGTTGTGATTATACTTGAGAGCCATGGCTATTGTTGTGGTAGATTGTGGTTAATGTTGAAGTTTTTGTGGCTATTCTGGTTGTTGTGGTTGTTGTGGTTGTTGTGGTTGTGATTTACAAGATTACTGATATTCAATATTCAGATGTATTTTCCTTAACTTGGGTACTGTATGTAATGTATTCTGCTTGTATACCTGTGACTGGGGGAGGGGGGTATTCTTGGTCGGCTGTGTATGAATGTATAATTGTATATATACACTGAAGGCAAATCATAAAGGTTGGTATACAATTTCCACACCTGTTGGTCATCGCTCTTACCTGTACGGATATTACTCCATTTAGAATATTTACCCAGTACCTGTTGCTGATTATTTGCTTATAAGATTAATACTGTCTTTCTTAATTACTTAATGGGAAGAATATCTACCTGTTGTTCTTTACCTGTTCGTGTACTTAGACAATTAGTACTGTGTCTTAATTACTTATCTTCATTACTCATCAGGTTAATAGCCAGTTGGGTGGTCGGTTATAATCTCTCTCTCTCTCTCTCTCTCTCTCTCTCTCTCTCTCTCCCTCCATCGATGCTGAGGGTAATGGTATTGTTTTTTAAGGGCGGAGAAAAATTCACTGTTTATATATTGATTATGTGTGTGTATGTGTGTGTGTGTGTGTGTGTGTGTGTGTGTGTGAAAGACAGAGGGGGGAACAGGAATAAATTAATGAAAGAAAGACGAAGAAGGGAAGGAAAGAGAGAACAGTAGATAAAGAAGTAAAAGATATAGATAAAAATATACCTAAAAGAGAGAGTGAATGAGGAAACATAAAAAAAAGAAAAAAATAATAAAAAAATAATCGAAATCAAAAAGATGAAAAAAAGATCGAATATCAATAATAAAAATAATTGTCTATAAATAATAAGATATAAAATGAAACACAAAGTTATGTCCATTAATATTATTGTCTGTAAGTTGGAAGTAATCACGAGGTTGATCTTTATATTCTGGTAGGAAGAACTTTTAAATCTCCTCTTAAACCAAATAAAGCATAGACACTGTTTTAGTTTTGGTTTATATTGTTTACTGAAATGTTCGATTAAAACTGTTTATGTTGAGATATTTCGTTCGTTCGGGTGTTTGGGGTGAGATAGTGAAATGTGGGTGAGGGATACCGTAGAGTTTAACAATGCTGTTTAGCTGGTCTGGTTTCTCTTTTATTTCTTATTTCGCTTTTGTCTTGTTATTCTTTCCTCTTCTTCTTCCAGTCGTATTCGAGTAACTTATTTGGGGCCTCTCCCTCCCACCTCTTATCATCCTCCCCATCTACTGCATTATCTTATTTTCCTTGATGTTCCTGAATTTTCTCTTCGTTTATTTATCTTCCTTTACGTTCTCTTTATCCACGTCTCTTCTCTTCTTCCATCTTTCTTTTTACTCTTATGTATTCGTTTTCTCGACATTACTCTCTTTGCCTCCTCCCTATTTCATAAAAATATTTTCATCTTAATTTCATTCATCATTTTTCTCTCTCTCCTTCATTCATTTATTCCATTTTCTCCTTTCCTCCTTTGTTCCAATTCTCTATTTTTTTATTTTCTCTTTCTTTCTTTTGCTCTTTCTATCTATCTCTTTTACTTCTCCCTTCATTCTTCCCTGTCTCCTTTCCCTCCCTCCTTCCCTCTTTTACCCTCTCTACCTAGTCCCTCCCACCCTCCCTCCCTCTCTCCCTCTCTCCCTCTCTTATTTCCTCTCTTCCCTTACTTCTTCCTTCCCTCCCTCGTTCCTCCTTCCCTTATAACCTTCCTCCCTCCTCCCTCACTCCCTGCTTCTCTTATTTCCTCCCTCCCTGGTCCAGCTATAATGGCACAATACGGGATTATGGCCCACTCTTGCTGTTTGGAATACACGAGTGCCATTGATCTCCGCAGAGTAAATTGAATTCAGTAATCCTTATACTCGTGAAGGGTGTGCTGACGCTCCTGAAGGAAGAATTGAGTCCTCCCCACCCTCTCACCTCCCTCCTCTCCTCCCCCTCCCTCCCCCTCCCTCTCTATCTCTACCCCTCTTCCTACCTGTAACAGTTTCTGCACACACATTCTCCCTCCCCCTCCCCCCCTCCCCACCCACGCTCTCTCACATCCTTTCCCCATCTTACACATACCTTCCCCTACCTATAATCCC